ACGTATAATCAAAATTGGCCATCATCAATTCACATCTTCCTAGTGTGCACACGTCTTCCCAAAGTTGCTACTAGTACTCCGAAAAATAACCACGGTTGCCAGATACCACTTTGGGAAGAAAAGATATAATCTTTTTCACATCAGTTTCACATCGGAGGCATAAAGCCCAAAAGTTGTGTTCATCACCTTGGGAGGTACCACCCCAAAGCTTTCCTCCCACCGTTGATTTATTACAATCACACACAATCATCATATCACAATTATCACATTTGAAAATTTCTTCTTTCAATATATCCATTACTCAAGGACATCATAACTTCCATACTATTCAAAAGTATTAAAATATTCAAATAAAATTCAACTCATATCTATTATGATAATCCAAATATCTATCAACATAGGGATTAGGATTACCTGGTCTCCGTTTTTGTTAATTTCTAGAAGAAAAGAGTAATTTAGGGCAGAGAACCGGTTGGTAATCAGAAGAATATAAAATAAACTAAGTTTTTGAACTAAGAAGAGAGAATAGTAGAGGAGAAATGTTGAAGAGTGAATTGGTTTAGTTAGGCTAGGCCTCTATTTATAGTTGAAGTTTTGGGTTCAGATATGGGTTTCGTGCATTTATTTCCTTTTTTTCTTCATTGATGTATCTGGCTCAGATTTTGACTTTATACACTATTTTATTTTTATTCTTAATTTCTTAGAATATAACTGACTTATTTGCTAACTTAAGGCTGACTCATTATTGACTCATCATATATAATCAAATTACCAATCAAACATTACTAATCAACCATTAATACATAAATCATCAAACAACTAATAAATCAATTAATCATAATTTATCATCTAATATATATATATACATATTAATATTATTTTATTAAAAATAATCTAGATTATTACAAAGTATCAAAATTGTTTTCCAATAGCACTCATATCGCACAAAATAATTTTATCAAAGGTAAAATTAATATTATACTTTGTTATCTATCACCATAAAATATATATATATTACTACTAATTTATAGTTTATTATTATTATATTATTATTATTATTGTTATTATTATTTTGTTAATAAAAGTATGGGGTATTACAAGGATGCATATTAAAATGCATTTAATGGACGTCGTGACTACAGGGTCACTTGACAATGATATTTATATGAAAATCCCTTAAGGATTCTCCATACCCTATATGGAAAGAATAAAAGTCGCAGTATGTTTAGCATTGAGCTGCAAAAGTCGTTGTATGATGGTCTCAAGCGTATTATTATCTCGACCTGCAGATCGAGCATCTTCCAAAATGATTATTTTATTTTCACCAATGTTATTATATAAGTGACCTAATGATGGTTCATTAACTAGAAGCGAATATAGATCCATTTAGACCAAATAACGAAAAAGGATTAGGACTTGAAGCTCTTAATCTTTAACGTCATGGGAACACTATTATACTCTTCAAATTGCAACAGGTCTGATATTGCATTTGCAGTAGAAGTTCTAGCTAGACATAATGTGGCCATTTAATGCATTGGAACGATGTTAATCATATTTTGATTATCTTCAAGTATTTACACATGATATGGAGATTTTACATTGGTGGAATGTTTTGATGCTGACTATTTGTATAATAATAACATATTAGATATGCATTTGTTTGTGGAAGCACTGCAAAGCTATAAAAACTAAGCCTAGTCGCTATTTCCTTAATAAATTACTTTCATCACAGGAGCAAATTAATTATCACTATCCCCGAAGAATGGAACTCTGAAGGTTTATTACTATAATTTTTCTTTGCTAAGATTTTCTTCCCAAAAGGATTTTTCTTGGCTAAAGATTTTTAATGAGACAATTTATGCGAGGTTTTTAATAGCACACATCATGTACTCTTTTTCTTCGTTAGTTTTTTTCCATTGGGTTTTTTAGCAAGATTTTAACGAGGCATGAAATTAGAGTAAATAATATCCAACGAGATGTGTTGTAAATGGAAGTTAATGATCAAATTGAATGAACATTACTACAATTTATTTTGGGAGATTATTATAAGATAATCATTTTAGAAAAATATAAATGTTGATTTATTCCCTTAACTTCAGCAGTAACTATATGACTTAATTGAGGGGCAGTTATATACATTACACTATTTTTCCCTTTACCAAGTTTTTATTCCACTCGAATTTTCTTGGAATTTTTAATGTTGCATATTAGTAGTGTATGGTCATTTAAGAGGGAGTGTTGTAAAATATATAGTATAATATGTGGATGACTCTTTGGTTGCCCATGTCTTTTGGTGTATTATGTAACTGCAATATTAGTAGTGTATTTAATGTATTTATCCCTTCATTATGTTCAAAGTCCTATATAAGGACATGACTCTTGTAAGAATGTGGATGATCGATGAATAATAAGGTTCCTGCATCATACTTTATCTTCTTTCTCTTATTTCCCTCAAATCTTTTTCTCTAGTTTTATAACATTTTTAACTTTATTTTTTAAACTCTTTTTTTAACTTAAACTTAAAATTAATTTTTTTAGCTTAAAAAAAATGTGTCAAACAAACTCTAAACCAAATTATTTTACCTGCATCTAGGAATATACTGTAAGTGCTTTTACCTCTTTCGACTAATAAGAAAAAAAAAAGATTCGTATAATTTCATTAAAAGCTATGCATACAAAATTTTAAAAAATTCATTATTTTTCAAAGTACTGAAAATAAAAGAGTAATTTTTGATTTTATCTTTTTATAACAAATTTTAATATAGAAATTTATTTAAATAAAGTGCAACAAATTTATTTTTTCTAGAATAATTTTAAGCACGTTGAATTGAAATGTAGTCATTGCAATAACTACAACATTGCCACAACTTTAAGGACCCGTTTCCTGCTCTAGATTAGAAAGGTATGAGAAAATAATTTATCATATACCCTATGTCATGTTTGAGAGGAGTCTAAATGTCTTTATCACTAACCTGTCGTGTACTTCAAATTAGTTCTATAGCTGGCTTAAAGAGTCGAAGTTTGTAAGAATACGAGTGATCTAACTCAAAGATAATTAGGGTTAGATTAACTTCAAGAAAAAAGAAGAAGAAGAAGATGATAACTTATCATATCTTATTCTTATCATGTGTTTGGTGATCCTAAGGCAAAAGGATAGGATAATCTTATCAGGTTAACTTATTTTATCACCCTGTTAAGAACCTGCTAAGTTGTCTAAGGCTCTGTTTGAGAGATGGTTTTTGGAGGGGAAGGGAAGGAAAAAGAGGGTTTTAGGAAGCTCTTCCCTTGTTTGTGAGTAAAAAAAATGAGGGAAAGGAATTGAGATTTTTTACTAAACTCTCCAAAATTCTTCTTCTTCTTAAAATTTAAGTTCCCCCAAGTTGGGGGGAGTGAGGGAAAAATATTAAAAATTATTTATCTACCCTTAGCATTAAAATGTGAAAACTACATAAATGTGAATCATTTTTAAATGTAACATTATTAGAAAAATCTCAAATACCGACAGAATTTATCGACGAAAAATATTTCGTCCAAAATAGTGATGAAATTTTTGATGAAAATCATATACGTCAAAAAACAATTACGTCAAAATATTTCACGATAAACATTTCCATCAAAATTTGTGACTAAAAACATTTACGTAATTTTTTTTTTTGTCAAAATTCTTTACGGAATCTAAATTTCGTCAAAACAATTCCCTCAACATTTTTCACAAAACACATATTCATCGAAATTTTTCACGAAAAATATTTCCATCAAAATTTTCAATGAAACACATTTCCATCGAAAATTTTTGACAGAAAAAAATTTCATTTACAGAATTTAAATTCTGTCGAAAGTTTTTGACGAAAATATTTTCGTTAAATTTTTTGACACGAAAATTCCTGTCAAAATTTTTAACGAAACACATTTCCATTAAAAATTTCCGACGAAAAATATTTCCGTCAAGTTTTTTGAAAAAAATATTTTCGTCAAAATTTTCAACGGAACACATTTCTGTAAAAAATTTTGACAGAAAAAATATTCTGTCAAAATTTTTAACGAAACACATTTCCATTGAAAATTTTTCTTAAAAAGTTTTGACGGAAAATATTTATGTAAAAAATTTTGACGAAAAAATATTCATCAAAATTCTTAATAGAATCCAAATTCCGTCAAAAGTTTTTGACAAAAATTTTTTCGTCATAATTTTTGACGAAAAAATTGTCCTCAAAATTTTTGACGAAACACATTTATATCAAAATTTTTTGAAAAAAAAATATTTTCGATAAAAAACATTTCTATCGAAATTTTCAATGGAACATATTTTCGTCAAAAAATTTCAACGAAAAACATTTCTGTAAAAATTTTTTTAAAAAAAAAATTCGTCAAAATTCTTTACAGAATCTAAATTCTGTCTAAAGTTTCACAGAAACATTTCCCACAAAATTTTTGAAAAAATATTTCCATTGAAATTTTCATTGACACATTTTCATCGAAGATTTTGGACGGAAAATTTTTCGTCAAAATTTCTGAAGGAATTCTTTTTTCCATCAAAACCTTTGATGGAATTGTTTTTGTCAAAAATATTTAACAAATCATTTTCGTCAAAACTGTTAACGAAAACTAAATTCTGTGCAAAATTTTGACTGAAATTTTATTTTACGAAAATATTTCATCGGATAAAAATTCCATCGTCTTCGATGAAAAATATCCCGATGAAAAAATATTTTTTTACAGAATTTTTGTCGTTTTCAACATAGGATTTTTGTTAAAAATATGACCTTTTTTAGTAGTCTTAAAACTACATAAATAATTATGTTTAGCAATTTTAAATTTTATTTTATTGTAAAATATAATAATTGTATTAATTATAAAAAAAAGGCAAAATTGTAAAAATTTGTCGTTGACCCTTCAATTCTCCTTTACTATTTTTTTAATCCCAAATAAGGAAAGAGAATAATCTCTAATTTCCTTTCCCTCCCTCCTATTTGGATGTCCTCCCTTCCCCTCCAAACTCAAGCCTTTTCCAATTCTACCTGCCAACCTTGTTACTGGACGATCGCTGTCACCATTGAATAGCTCCGTCACCAATTAGCCCCTACTCTCGAAACACCACACCGATGTCGGAAACATCTTTGGAAAATGGCATCATTTCAAACTCGCTAGCTATAATGCACCGACACTTTAGAAAACCTGACATGTTCTGTCCGATATTTTCCGACACTAAATCGTGCTATTTCTGTGTATTGAGTTGCAGAGAACATGGCTTCAGTAGTGCCTCTGAATCAGCCTGGATAGATTTTCCCGTAGAGAACGCATACTCAGGAGTATCGCGTCGTCTCGCAAACTGACCAAAGAAACTCACCAGAACCTCAATGATTCAAGGAATGATTCCAACAATTTATGCAAATCCTAGCCGCCTACGAGGTGGGTACAAATCATGCTCAGGTTTTTTATTATTGTTCTTGATGGCTATAGCTGAGCAAAACTTTTGATACACTTTGAATGAAAACAAATCAACCAAGTTTGACTCATAAAAGGATGCTCTAAAATTATGTTTAGGGGATATTTCCTTTACATTTATGTATAGGGGTACGACTAATTGGTTATAATTAATTGGTTTTGCTTTTGCATACGAATAAAGTTTTGTTTGTTTCCATTTTTTATATTTTTAAATATGAGAAGAAGCGTGTGCAGTGGCATGAAGTTGGTGAGAAGGTTTCAGCTTGTGGCATGAAACTGGAAAGCAAAAAGCAAGCTATGGGCGTCAGAGTCAGAGTGAGAGAGCGGTTTGTGGACGCACAAAATTTAGCAGCGTTTGCGTTTGCGTTTGCGTGTGAGAGTGAGTGAGTGAGTTTTCAATTTGACATTTATACCCTCTTTGATCTTCATCTTCATCTTCTCTCCGTTTCCATGGCGCCTGCTATGAGGATCCTTTTCGGACTTCTCACATTTGTCACCATCGGAATGATTATAGGTAATTTTCATTTTAGATGCTTTATCGATTTCATATTACGTTACCAACTTATTATAATGGAGCCATGATCTCCGTGCGTGCATTTCATCTTCTTCTTTAAATTACATAACTAGCCTTATTTTACATTCTATGCCAACAAAACCGAATGAGCTAATTAAAGTTGAAAGAAATGCCTCTGTTGTCCTCCTCAACAGTAACTGCACTACTTTGAATACTTGTATTTGGTATTACAAGTTCATGAAGAAAAAGTGCTCTTGGCTTTTAGTTTAATGCTGCAGTTACCACAGAACTAGCTCATAGATGCTCTTGTGTTTTGAAAGCTGTGGAATGCCAAAGGTGATCCACGTTTCACAATTATGTCTAGAAAAAAAATGATTAAAGAAGAAGAGATTTTGTGATATATCTGCAGAGATATTTGCAATTCCTTATCGTGGGTGATTATGTGTTCATTTATTTTTAGGTGTTGGCAACTCCCCTCCCACCCCTTTTTGAAAAATCTATAGACTATGTTGCGTGCAATTTAGAGATAATTCCTGTTTTTGAATAATTTTTTTTGCAAATTGGTGGATTTATTTCTTCTATATTCCTGTGTTGGCTTATTGCACTACTAGAAAAGAATTATGTCAGTAATAAAATGGTTTCTTACTGTTAAATTATTAACAAGAATCAATACCAACAAAGTTTTTCATTATATAATTATCTAATGGATTCTTTTCTGTTCTGGAATTACAGGTGCTCTCTCGCAATTGGCATTCATACGAAAATTGGAAGAATCATATGGTATAAAGTTGTACTCTTTCTCTTAGTATTGTGGCTTAATAGTGTTTAAGGGGCTGTTTGGTTTTTATTTTCAAGAACTGGTGTCCGTTTTTAAAATAAAGAAACAACAAAACTTGTTTGCAAGAATGTTTTCTGTCTTAATTTTTAATGACAATAGGCTTGTCAAGAAACAATTATCTTGAAAGTTTAAGCTGCTAGGTGAAAGCACATGGATGACTCTCTATATTATTATTTTAACACACCCCTTTATACAAGAGCTCTTTAGACTCAAAACGTTGACGAGTGAAAACATACCTACTTTGTGCCAAAATTCAACATTTTATTGGAAGAATGGGTATCAAACTGAATACCACTTGCTCACAAACACTCTAATACCATGTTGGGAACCTACTTTTTCAAAAGCTTAAGCTTTTAGTGGAAGGCACATGAATGATTTTCTAACTTACGTCTGTAACAAGGTGAAACCAAATATGATATTTATGATAGGGGGATATGATGAAATATAAGACAGAAATGTTTTTCATATATTGATTGACACCCAAAGGGTTCTATATATACAGATTACAAGGTAGTTAAGGAGTTGAAGTAATAAATAAAAATAAATAAAAGTACACAACAAACGAAGAGGCATCAACTAATCAAAGAGACTAGACTCTAGAATATTCTACACTCCCCCTCAAGTTAGGAGATATATATTGATCATCCCCAACTTGCTAATTAAATCCTCAAAGATGGGTTTGTGTAACCCTTTGGTGAGAATGTCGGCTGTTTGCTCCTTGGTAGGTATATATGACAAACATACACTACCCTCGTCCAATTTTTCTTTGATAAAGTGACGATCAACCTCCACATGTTTGGTTCTATCATGATGTACATGATTTTGAGCAATACTGACAGCAGCCTTATTATCACAATAGAGTCTGACAGGTAGAGAATAAGATATCTTTAATTCTTCAAGGAGTCTTCTTAACCAGATTCTTTCACAAATGCCATGGGCTAGCGCCCGAAATTCTGCTTCTGGCAACAACAGTTTGTTTCTTACTTCTCCAGGTCACAAGATTTCCCCAGACATAGGTACAATATCCTGAAGTGGATCTTCGGTCCATTGCAGAGCCAGCCCAATCAGCATATGTATCGATTTCTATCATCCTTTTGTGTCCTCTTTTAAAGAGCATTCCTCGACCAGGGGTATTTTTGAGGTACTTGAGGATTCTAAAAACCGCACTAAGGTGTTTTTCCTTAGGAGAATGCATGAATTGGCTAACCATGCTAACTGCAAATGCAATATCAGGCCGAGTGTGAGATAAGTAGATCAGCTTTCCTACCAACCTTTGGTACAGCTCCCTGTCAACATCTTCTCCATCTCCAATTCCCAATTTAATATTGGGTTCAACTGGAGTTTCTGCAGGCTTGCACCCAAGCATACCTGTTTCTTGTAGCAGGTCTAGGATATATTTCTTCTGAGATAAGAAGATTCCTGCCTTGCTACGAGCAACTTCCATTCCAAGGAAATATTTGAGTGATCCAAGGTCCTTCAGTTCAAACTGATTAGCTAAACACCCTTTTAAAGATTTTATTTCCTCCCAGTCATCACCTTTGACAATTATGTCATCAACATAAACAATGAGGATAGCAATTTTATCACTATTGGAGTGTTTAAAAAATAAAGTGTGATCAGTCTGAGCTTGGATAAATCCTCTTCCTTTAACAGCACGAGTAAACTTGTCAAACCACTCTCTAGGGGATTGTTTAAGTCCATAAAGAGACTTCTTCAACATGCATACTGAACCATCTCCCTCCTCAAAACCAGGTGGTAGATCCATGTAAACTTCCTCATGTAAGTCCCCATTTAAGAAGGCATTCTTTACGTCCAATTGATGCAAGGGCCAATCAAGGTTGGCAGCAAGTGACAGTAGGACTCGGATAGAGTTAAGTTTGGCAACGAGAGCAAACGTCTCCTGATAGTCTATCCCATAAGTCTGAGTAAATCCTTTGGCAACCAATCTGGCCTTATATTTGTTGATGCTGTTATCTGCATTAAATTTTATTGTGAACACCCATTTGCAACCTACAGTTTTCTTTCTTCTGGGAAGTGCCACGGACTCCCAAGTTCCATTTTTTCTGAGTGCATCCATTTCTTCAAAGACTGCATCCCTCCATTTAGGGTCATTAAGTGCCTCTTGGATATTTTTTGGTATTTTTGTACCGTATAATATAGTGTTGAAAGCATGAAAACCTTAAGATAACTTTTCATATGAAATGTGATGAGAAATAGGATGAGCAGTGCAAGATCTAGTACCTTTTCGAAGGGCAATAGGCATATCTAGGTTAGCTGTACCAGTGTTCTCAAGTGGATTGCTGGAACTAGGACTCAGGTCAGAATCCTGGCAGTCTAGAGGATCTTGAGGAGATTTACGCCTGCTGTAGAATTTTCCCCATTTACCGGGAGGATCTCCAGTCTCTGGTACAGTTGCTGTCCTTGTCTCTTGTACATTAACTCCCCCTGTCTCCAAAGGTAAAGGAACAACAGATGTTTCAGATGTTTCCAAGGGTAAAGGTAAGACAGTAGAATTATTTGGAATCCAAGACTTGTCTTCATTTACACCAATAGACTCCCCTTGAAGAGAAGTCGAGGGAAAAAATGATTGTGTTTCATAAAAAGTAACATCCATAGAAACAAAGACCTTTCGAAGAGAAGGTGAGTAGCACTTATAACCTTTTTGATTAGGAAGATATCCTATGAAGACACATCTAACAGACTTAGGATCAAGTTTGGACCTTTGATGTGGAGGAATATGAACAAAAACCACACAGCCAAACAATTTTGGAGGAAGGTAAGATAGAGCCCGAAAGGAGGGAAAAGAGCGGGTAAGGCAAGATATGGGAGAATGAAAATTCAGGACACGAAAGGGCATTCGATTGATGAGATATGAGGCAGTCAAGACAGCCTCCCCCCACAGGTATTTAGGGACATGCATTGTAAACAAGAGGGCTCTAGCAACTTCAATGAGATGTCTATTTTTTCGTTCAGCCACCCCATTTTGTTGAGGGGTGTTAGGACAAGAACTTTGATGGATAATACCTTGCTTGGTTAGGTAATCACCAAGAACAGAATTGAAATATTAAGTACCGTTGTCAGTTTGCAGGATTTGGATAGAAGTCTGGAATTGAGTTTGTATCATAGCATGAAAGTTTTTAAAAGTGGCTGCAGCTTCAGACTTATCCTTTAGAAGATATACCCAGCATACTCTGGAATGATCATCAATGAAGGTAATAAACCAACGAGCACCAGATATATTTTTTTCACGAGCTGGTCCCAAATATCACTATGAATCAATGTAAATGGAGACGAAACATGATAATCTCTGGGGGAATAAGAAACACGAGAGTGTTTTGCAAATTGACAATCATCACAACAAAAGGAACTTGGTTTTTTATTGATAAATAAGTTTGGAAACAGCTTTTGAAGATAAAAGAAATTTGGGTGTCCTAAACGACGATGCCACAACAAAACATCATTACAATCATCTGATAAACATAAAGAGTGATTTGCAAAAAATCTCTTTTCATGAGAATCTTCTTCAAAATAGTAAATCCCTTCTTCCTCTCTAGCACTGCCAATCATCAGCCCCGAATCCTGTTCCTGAAAAACACAGGTTTTGGCAGAGAATTTAGCAACACAATGCAATTCAGAGGAAAATTTACTAATAGAAATAAGGTTACAAGTAAGAGAAGGGACATGAAGGACAGAATTCAGAGTAATATGTCCCGCAATATTAGAGAAACTACCATCAGCAGTCCTTATTCGTGACTGGTGATAATAAGGGGTATAAGAACAGAACAAGGTTGCATTACCTGTCATATGATCAGAAGCTCCGGAATCAAGAATCCAACGACTACTACGATCAACATGGCTAGTTGCCTCAGCTGATTGAGACATCACCTTCTGAAATTGCTCATACTGAGCTTTAGGGATGAATACACCATCGGGATTTGGAGAGGCACGAGACTCCTCACCCTTATCATCAGAAGAGATTTGATAAGCACGACTCTTGTTCAACCCCTTTGTTTTCCAGTTTGGTGGTTTTCCATGAATTTCCCAACATTTTTCGCGAGTGTGACCACTCTTATTGCAATGAAAACACCATCGGTCAGAACGTTTTGCATCGCTAGGGGGACGAGGAGTATGTTTTGCTACTAAGGCAGATGCATCGGAGGATTTAGAGTTCTTGTCTCCCAACATTACCTTTCGGCGAAGTTCCTCCCGTCGTACCATAGAAAAAGCAGCTGCAATGGAAGGTAATGGGTTCTGACCCAATAACCTACCACGAACATCATCAAGATCACGATTAAGGCCAGCAAGAAAATCATAGAGACGTTTTTTTCTCTAAGTAACTCTTAAACCTTGCATTAGCTTCTAAACCTTGAAGATCTGCTGCATCATAAAGATCCAACTCCTGCCACAAAGTTTTTAAAGTAAGAAAGTATTCAGTAACAGACATCCCCTCTTGATGTAACTCGCTTACCTTGGTGTTGAGTTCAAAAGCCTGAGAAGCATTGCCCAGGTCAGAATAATATTCTTTAACGGCATCCCAAATTTCCTGAGCCGTATCAAGAAACAAATAAGTTTGACTGATATCAGGATTCATGGAGTTAGTCAACCAGGTCATGACCAAGGCATTTTCAGTCATCCATTTATCATAATCAAGTGTCTATTAGTAGCACAATAGACTTAACCTAACGAAAGGTAGGCTACATAAACATCA